ACAATCTATCCAAAGTTCCATTTAATAAATCCCAAATATTTGCGATACATGAGATACATGTATCATTTTTTACTGTGGAAAAAACATTGTGTTGCATTAAAATAGATACATCTTTAGAGTTTAATTATGCATCTATTATATTTTCTCTATTTCTGCAAAATCACATTCATGTGTCACATATATCACCCAGTTAACAGAAAATGATTAAACTGATTTATTTAAATTTATAACAACCTAAAAGTCGTGTACAGTACATACATTGTATTTAATAATTGTTCTATATAATTCATTAAATTATATTTAAACATATTGAATTTTATAGTAGGCATTTATTCTAACACTAAAGTTCTATCCTGATTATATCAAATTATTCTAGCATTGTCAGTTTACTTCAGGAAAAAATAGATCTAACACTGTGTGTAATTTCATTTACTGTGAAATAGGATTTGCAGTGGATTAATCAAAAACAAAATAACAGTATTGACAATATGAATAGAAATCCCTCAAAATCATAAAAGTTTGGTTGTTCTATTTTGGGCAATCTTGTTTTGATATCTTTCATGATTATTTTGAGGACAGGAACTTGGTATTTTTCATTCATCTTCTTACATATGGGAATTGCTCATTGGGAACTCTGATCAGAGAGGACACATTTTTCTAAGTATTAGTACTGCTTTATAAAACCCTAGTGAGACCACACCTGGAATACTGCAACCAGTTTTGATCACCATACTACAAAAAAGATGTTGAGACCTTGGAAAAAGTTCAAAGATGATCAATTAAGATGATCAAAGGCCTGGAGACTAAAACATATGAAGAATGGCTGCAGGACCTGGGTTTGGCTACTCTAAAGAAAAGAAGAAATAGGGGCAACATGATAGCAGTATTCCAGTATTTGAGAGGGTGCAACAAAGAAGAGGGGGTCAAATTATTCTCCAAAGCACCAGAGGGCAGGACAAGAAACAATGGTTGGAAACTGATCAAAGACAGAAGCAACCTGGAATTAAGGAGAAACTTTCTGACAGTGAGGACAATTAACCAGTGGAACAACTTGTCTTCAGAAATCATGGGCACTCTCTCACTGGAGGTTTTTAAGAAGAGACTAAACAGCCACTTGTCTGAGATGGTATAGGTTACCTTGCTTCAGCGGGGGGCTGGCCTAGAAGACCTTCAAGATCCCTTCCAGCTCTATTCTGTTCTGTTCTGTTCTAGACTAGTCTAGTCTAGTCTAGTCTAGTCTAGTCTAGTCTAGTCTAGTCTAGTCTAGTCTAGTCTAGTCTAAGTCTAATCTTTTACAATGAAATATTTCACCCTGCTTTCTCCTTAAAAGGTAGTGTAATGATACCACTTCAAAATAGCCAAATTATAATAATTCAAATATCACTACAACCAAAATTGCTGCAATGAAAATACAGGCAGAAACGGACTTCTGGTTTTGTGCCCGTAGTGCATGGCTGCGCAAATGAGGACCTCTGCTCCTCACAGCTAATTTTGTCCTGTTAGGGGGACCCTAGATGGGTCCAAAGTCACCCTGAAGAGGTGACCGTGAAGGAGGGGTGCCCCATTGATCATGAAGCAATGGCAATTGCTTTATTTGATCCGGGGAAAGCTCTCCGAACCCAACAGGAGAAAGGCTAGCGTGAGATCAGCGTCTAGCCCAAGCTACTTGCAGCCGAAGTCCCAAGGCATGAACCTGAACATTGGTGAACAGCGTGCTTGGAATTGGTGAGAGTACTGATCTTCTTCCTTCTATCTACTAACTAAATCCTTGAAAAGATCCCCAAAGCAAGAAAACCTCCAGAAGTGAAGGGAGGGGACTACATCCCCATTCCCTTACAGATGGAAGCGGCAAATTAATATTAAAGGAGGAAAGAGATATGCTAAAATTTGATTTAAAATACTACAGTCTGGACAAATTTAGAAATTAAAAAGTTGTCAAGATTATATCCTAAAGAATTTTCGATGGAATTATAAAAATATATAACAAAAATAACTTTTTGATTGAAAAAAAAACTGAAAAAAGAAATAACTGCTGACATCTAGTGAAGAATCAGAAAATAGAACACTAACAATAAGGACTCAGAAATTGGCAGAATGCCTAGAAACAAAGAAAAAGTTGTTCCTTTGAATTGCAAATAACCTTGAAGACAGCGGGGAACAAAGGAAGAGCCAGTATAAGATTAAAAAATGCCTGAAAGAAAAAAAAAACACCTGGACTAAGAACTGTTTATGGAAAAGAAAAACCTTGGCTTTTTGGCTAATCTTTTAGAGGAGAATCTACAGGAAGGATTTAAAGTGGCTTAACACACTGAACTGTAATTTTGACTGACTGATAAATTGACTTTTGAATTAAAACATTGGTGAAAGATTATTTGAAGGGAGGATACAACATGGATATCACATATGTATCAAAAAATGACAGGACGCCACATTCAATATTTTCTCCTGAAGGACTTAGCCTGGAAAATCAAGGGCCTCCAGAAGCAATACTTCAAGGGAAAATAAATACTTTCCAGGAGGAAATATATGTAATGTTAGGACAAATACAAATGACAATAGACTCAAACCACGAGGAAATTTGAAACAACTTTGATGATTTAAGTAAGCATATTTCCAATCTAAATCTACAATTAAAAGATACCCAGGAAATAACAACGAATGAACAAATAAATCAGATAACAGACCACAAATTAGAAGAGTATGATCAAATTGATGAAATAACAAAGGAAAAGAATTACAATTTGACACAAACAGGGAAAAATCTATAAGGTTCTGATACAACAAGAAAAATGGAATGGACTACACAATTATCAGGAGAACCATCAGAGTTTGGGAGACACAAAGTATTCATCTTACTTACTTCATCTTTTGTATTCCCAACAACATTTGTAAAAATACAGGAACTGCTGGGTAAGCGGATTACATCAACTTGGAAAATTACTTGGCAAAAGAAAAAGACCAGAGACAGATAGAAGAGATTTGACTCGCCCTACCAGATGGACTATTATGTGAATAAACATTTGTTTGAATATGGCTAAAAGAACAGAGAATTTTGAACATAAAGGGGCCTTATAACAAGAAGGATAAGAAATTTAAGTAATATAGTATGTTCTATAATATATGAAATGTTAAAAAAGCAGGTTGATGTAACTTTTATTAATATAAGTGAAATATAAACTGATTAAAAAGGATGTTATATCTAGATACTATAAGATAGATAAAAAGTATAGTATTTTTATAATGCATGATATAAAATATTGGGATGATATACCTAAATGGGAAAATTTGGACATTTAGATGACTAATATGAAGAAATTATGACTGATAAGAATTGGATTGAATATAAGGGACTTTAAGCGAACAAAAATTATAAAAATAGGATGCATGCTGAACTAATGAGATGATGGTTATGAAAATAATATAAGCTGATAAAAATGTTATATATAGAGATTATTATTATTTATATAAATATAAAAATGCCTATATTCTAATCATTTATATATTGAAAATATTAAGAATTATATTTTGGCTAAGGTTGAAGAAGAAGAATACAAATGGGAGAAGGGAAGATCAAAAAGATATATCATTAATTAATATATTATTTATGGAATTATCAAATTTAATTATTATTGATTGTTAATTATTATTGTCCTTTTTTTCTTATTAAAATATAAACCAAGACAACACGCTGTACACCAGGCACTGGAGATTGTTATAGTTAAAAACCAATAAAATATTTATGAAAATACAGGCAGAAACATTAATCAGAGTAAAAATTAAAGATATAATGTAAGACATAAGATAGTAATTCATATTTTGAATAATCAGGAAAGTATGTTAATTGGTACATTATACTTAATGATATAAGTCAGAATACAATGTATCAATAAAGGGTTGAAGTTATAGGAGCACAGATTACAATGAAATATTAGAAATATAGATGGTCCTCACTGAAAGTAATTTGGATTAGCAACTCCATCACAAAGCTATTGATCATAAGGCATGACTGAGGGATGTGACCATGTGGAATTTGTCTAATGACAGCAGCTGCAACTGCTGGAATTGCTGTTGTAAGTCAGTGCAATAACATGACGTCATGTTATTGCACTGACTTACAACAGCAATTCCGGCAGTCCCAGCTGCTGTCATTAGGCAAATCCTACATGGTCACATCCCTAGTCATGTGATCACCATTTGCAAAGTCCTGCCAGTGTGTCCTTGTTGACTTTGTTGGAAGCCAGCAGTGAAAGTCACAAATGGCAGCCACATGACAAATGGTATCCATAGGACACTGCAATGTTATTATTGCCAAGCATTTGAGTTGCAGTCATGTGACCCCGGAGATATTGTGACATCGCAACTACTCTACATTCAGCACTATCATAAGTTTGAATAGTCTCTGAATGAGTGATTGTTTAACAAGGATTTCCTGTAAATGATAGGAATAGTTAGATTGTGAAATCAATTTGTGGAAGGCTCTCCTTTCGTATCTTCAAATGGTCATTTAATAGTAATCTCTCCGGCATCCCTGACATTAGATTCTCTGTTGCAACACTTGTCATCTGGAACACCATTTTTCTGAGATTTGTTTGGCTGCCATCCACCATGTTTAAAAATTCTTGAAAATCTGGCTATTCACTAGCCTTGATTACAACTGAATAATGAGTCTTATATATTGTATTACTTTAAAATGGCTTTCTTTTACCAGATTTTTTTAAATTTATTTTTTATTGTACCCTGTCCAAATTAACCATGGAGTTGGATGGCCTTACAAAAAGAAATCATAATAAACTGATTTTGTACTGAGCAGAGGGATGATTGTCAATTCTATGATTCCCTGATATGGACTTAACATTATTAATCAACATGTGCAGTTAACATTATAAATCTAGTGAAATGATTAAAGCTTTTCTATCAGGCATCATATTAATATGTAGAATGCCTACTGTTAGCAATAATCCTTTGAGCTGTTGCATAATTTCTTTCTCTATCCTTCATACCTTTGCTACAAGGGCCATCACATTTTTTACATTTTCGAATGCCATTCTGCTCCACTTCTGTAGAGTCTGCATTGCATGATCGGACACATGAACCATGGTCTGTTACTACATAGTTATCTAGAAAAATTAGGAAGAGAGAGAGAGAAAAAACAGTCATAAGGAAAAAAAGGACACTTGTCACAGAATTTGTGTTATTTCCTTGGTTGATATAATTTTCATTTCCAGCCAAAACACACATCCTACATAAAAAAAAATACACAAACATACTCTCCAAATCAACTATAAGCTTGTCAGTATAAATGGTATGTAATTTTAGTAAGTTTTAATAAATTTTTAAAAATGGCAGATCAAATGTAAACTTCAGAATGGACTGATGTGCAAAAGAACCTTGCCAGTACTTTGAACAACTGTGTGTATAATTCATAGCAGTAGCTTCTCTGTAACATACCTTTGAAACATTTCAGTGAATTCCAAATGTATGTTAAAAGTTCATTAGACTCTTCATACCAGGTCATTTGTGAAAAAAAACTCTCATTTCTCTAGAATGAAATTTCAGAAACATGAACCAGTTTTTGAAAATATGTTAAATATGTGGTTTCTGGGAAGGAGATCAGTTTAGGAGTAAACAGATTTTTTTTTGAAGACCTCAAAATTCACTAATTTTGCTAATTAGTAATACTAATTAGTAATTACTATTAGCAACAATACATCATGAGTAATTTCATGATCTGGTCTGATTGAGAGAAAGTTCAAAAGAATCACATATTTAATAACATCAATAACAACAATAGTTGGAAGCGACCTTGGAGGTCTTCTAGTCCAACCCCCTGTTCGGACAGGAAACCCTATACCAATGATGGCGAACCTTTTAGAGACTGAGTGCCCAAAAACCCCCCCTGCCCCCCTGCTCTGCTCCGTTCCAACCACACTTGCCACGCTGCCCGTCCAGCTCACCATAGGGGATCACGAAGAGACTATAATATTTGTAGTGACCCCTGGCATGGAGTGCCCCCTTATTCTGGGCATGTCATGGCTAGCCAAGTGGAACCCGTGGGTGAACTGGAGGACAGGAGAACTCAGATTCCCAGATGGATGTACAGTAAAGACCCCAGCTCAGCTCCGAAATGGGGGAAGTCCCTCCAAAAGAGCAGGGGGGGGGAGTTACAAGACATCCAGAGGAATACAGGGACTTAGCTGAAGTGTTCAGTGAGGAGAAATCTAAAGAACTGCCCCCTCACCGACCCATGGACTGCTCCATCAAGATCCTCCCAGGGGCAAAATTATGCAAGCCAAAAGTATATTCTATGAGCCCACAAAAGCTCAAGGAAATGCAAAGAAAAAAAATCTGGAAAGGGGTTTCATCCAGCTGGTGAAACCAAAGACCACAGCCCAGGTGTTATTTTGAGAAAAGAAAGATGGGACTCTCCACCTCTGCATGGACTATAGATCTCTGAACGTAGTGAGCAAGAGTAACCTATACCTCCTCCCACTCATGAAGGACATGCTAGCACACCTATTGAAAGGAAAAATCTTTTTGAAACTGGACTTGAGGGAGGTGTATTATAGGATTAGAATTAAAGAAGGGGATGAGTGGAAAACTGCTTTCAATTGCCCCTTAGGATGTTACCAATTCAGGGTTTTACCCTACACCCTTCAAGGGGCACCCATAGTATTCATGCAATTAATAAATGAAGTGCTCCGAGAGCACCTGTATAAAGGGTGCTTGTTTACCTGGACAATATCCTGATATTCACTGAAACAAAAGAGGAACATGTGAAATTAGAACTGTGCTGAAAACAGGCAGCTCACCTGTATGCGAAGCTGTCTAAGTGTGAATTTCATAAGGAAAAAATTGACTACCTGGGGTATCACATCTTGCTGAGTGGCATAGAGATGGACCCTGAAAAAGTCTGAGCTGTACTAGAATGGGCTCCGCCCTGCACCAGGAAGCAATTGCAAAGTTTCCTTGGATTTGCTAACTTTTACCGGCATTCATCCTTTCCTTTGCACAGATCATGCTACCAACTAACTTGTTAAAGACAAAAGGGGAGGGGAAACCCAAACTGAGTCAGTGAATGAAAGGGACAGTAGAATGTCAAACCGCATTTGAAAGGTTAAAAAGACTATTTTCCGCAGAGCCAGTTCTAAGGCACCCTGACACCAAAAAAACTTTCATAATTCAGGCTGATGCTAGTGACGTGGCTGTGGGGGCAGTACTATTACAAGAGAATGATGAAGGGAAATTGCATCCTTGTGCATACACATCAAGGAAACTCACAGAGACAGAGCAAAGGTGGGCAGTTTGGGAGAAGGAGGTTTACATGGTCTAATGGGCCTTCTAACCTGGCAGCACTTCCTGGAGGGGAACAAAATTCCTTTCCATGTGTGGACTAACCACAAAAACTTGGAAGCACTAAAAACACCCAGGAAACTGACACCTAAGCAAGCGAGATGGTTGCGACATTTCCAGCTGTTTAATTTCACTCTAAAGCACTTGCTGGGGAAATTTTTTTTATAGCAGATGCATTGTCCAGACTGCCCCAGTACAATAGCCACCGAACAGAAATAACAGACCCACTTATGCAAAAAAAAAAATAAAAAATTAGCAACACAAGTCACCACCCGAGCACAAGCCAAACTTCAAAAGCCCCTAGCGAGCCAAGCAGGGATTGAATTCAAAAAAGCACTAGAAACCGACAAATGGTTCCTAAGCCACAAGAACCTATACACTGTGACTGATGGGTTACCATGGGTCAGAGGAAAGCTGTATGTCCCAAAAAGCCAGAGACTGACATTCATGCAGCTATGCTATGATTCAAAATCAGCTGGACATTTCAGATTTGTAAAAACTTCACACTTGGTGAAATGGCAGTTTTGGTGGCCATCAATAAAATAGGACACTGAAAGTTACGTGGCCAGTTGTCCAACTTGTGCTGCAGTGAAGAGAATGCAAGGAAATACCCCAGGCTTGTTGCAACCAGTAGCGACCCCATCAGCACCTTGGGGAGAAATCTCTATGGACTTTATTGTGGAGTTACTGGAAAGTGGGGGGAACACAGTCATTTGGGTCGTGATGGATTTATTCTCTAAACAAGTACATTTTATCCCATGCCAAAAAATCCCCAATGCAAAGACACTTGTAAATCTGTTCGTCCAGCATATTTATCGACTTCATGGAGCCCCACAACGAATCATATCAGATAGAGGGGTACAATTCACATCAGAATTCTGGAAAGCATTCCTAGAACTGTTGGGGACCACACAGGGGTTGTCATCTAGTCATCATCCACAGATGAATGGTGGGACTGAACGGTCGAACTCAGTACTGGAACAGAACCTACACTGCTTCATTAACTACCAGCAGGACAATTGGACTGACCTGCTCCCATTTGCAGAGGTCACCCATAACAACGCAGTGCATTCCAGCATGGGCTACACTCCTTTCCAGGTGGTGACGGGACAAAGTTTCACCCCGATGCCAGAACTCCCATTGAATGACCCGACCATCCCTTCCCTGAAGGAGTGGATTGCACAATTATGGAATATCTTGCCAGTTGTGAGAAAAGTATTAGACGAAGGTAGGGAAGCATATAAATTCCAAGCAGATAAGAAACGAAGCAAACCTAAACAATTTCAAGTAGGAGAGAAAGTTTACCTGTCAACAAAGTACCTAAGAGGGTTTATGCCCCCAATCAACTGTCATCTCAAAAACAATTTTATAGACAACTACATCAGAAAATAGTGGCTATGGATTATAACTCCTTGATTGTTATGGGGGACTGGAATGGGGTACTTGATACTTCAAAAGACAAAAAGACAACTTCTAGGGACGTGGCCCTTTCCAGACTCCCTAAATCCTTTTTTGCAATGATGGAAGATTTGGAGATGGTGGATGTTTGGAGATTACAACATATGAATGAACGTGATTTTA